CGCTGCGTCCAAGGTCGTTAGCGGTGGGCGGGTCCCAGCTGCCAGCCAGATGTGGACAGCTGGACCTCGGGAGGCGAGAGTTCTCTACCCCAACCCCTGCAAACCCGCAGGCCAGGGTTGAGCCCAGAAGGCATGACCGGACGGCCCACCATCGCTGCCTCGCGAGGCCCCGGCTTGCTTTCCCGGGGCGGGGGGCGGGAAGCAGAAGGGGGAGCCTCCCTCCCCGAGTGGGGGACGCAGCCAAGTGCAGGACAGGCCGACAGCGGCCCTCGGGTTGGCTCAGCTGGACGGCATCGGACTTTTTGAGCTCTGGGTTGCAGTGGTGCATTGACGGAGAGGGAAACCGAGGCCCAGAAGACCAAGTCCCTGAGCAGCAGCTCCCTTCCATGCGGTCTGAAGCGGAGAAATTGGGCAAGAGGGTGGCAATCCAACGCCCGGATAAAGGACCCCGAGCTAGAGACACCCCCAGGGAGCCGGTGCTCCGGCCCTGCCCACCCCCGACCGCCCCCCGACCCGGATAATGAGCTGCTGCGCGCTGCTGTAATTGGCGGGGCCGACCCTGCCTGGCAGAGCACCCGCAGGCGGCGCGGGGGCGGTCGGGGGGCTTAATTGCAGGGCTGCGGGTCGCAGTCTGGCCGCGGCTCCTCTTGTGGGGGCGCGGGGTGGGAGGGGACACGGACCCTAAGCTTGGCCGAGCGTGGCCTCGGAGGACACGGAAAGCCTTGCGGATGGGCTGTCGGGGATTCCCCCCCCCCAGGACACGGGCCTTGGGGGTGGGGGGTGGTGTTGAACTTGAGCAAAGCGCGCGGGAGGAGCGGCGGGAGCGAAGCAGGGGGCAGATTCCAAATTCCCCACCCCGGGCCCAGAAACCTCGGTTCGTCTGGTCCGAGACTCCTCCCTCCTTCTGACCCTCCCTCTCTCCCCTTTCTGCCGCCCCCGTCACCCCCCTTCTCGTATCCCCAGGGCGCTCCCACCCTAGGGAAGAATGTGCCCTCCTAGCGCACCTTTGCCATGGCAACGGCACACCCCCACCCCCGCGCACCGCAGCCGCCCGGCCTGGCCCCGCAGGCTGCTGGAAAGCGGCGACGGGGCGGGCATGGGGGGGGGGCGGCGGGGGGGCGCCTCCCAGCCTCACGGACACACCTCTGCAGCCCCGGTTACCATAGCAACCGGGGGCGTTTCGAAGTGCGCAGCCGCGAAGTGGCCAGGGCTGGCGCGCGCGCTCACGCTCGCTCTCGCTTTCTCTCTCGCTCTCTCTTGCTCTCTCTTGCTCTCGCTCGCTCTCGCTCTCTCTCACCTCGAAAGGACCCTGACTCCAAGCAGGGATTCGCCCCCCCCCACACACACACACACACTCATTCAAGGACAAGGTCCACGGGGCGGCCTCACTTGCACCCACGGGCAGATCTAGGGCGCAGAGACAGTCTGAGAGCTCCTGGGAACAACTTGCAAAATGATACCCCCACCCCTCCCGCAACCCCGATTCCCACCCCCTGTCGCCAGCCTGTCCCCCTCCCCCCAGCAGAGCCGAGGGGGAGCGCTGGAGGCAGGAAGTTGGGGAAGGGCCCCGGAGGCGCGCAGGCCCTGCAGCCGAGCCGTGATTACAGGGACCTGTCCCTCCCGGCCCAGCTCCCACTCTCATTAAGTCATTTTTTCCCCTGTTGGAAAGTCCCCGTGCCGTGAGCGCAGGGGCTGGGGCGACCGCAGGCAGCTGCCGGCAACCACATAAGAAAGGGATGTGCGGTGTGTGCGCTGGGAGGGAGGGGAGGCGAGGGGCTGCGCCCGAGGCCTGGCCGAGCTCCAGGGTGGAAGGCCCCGCTGCTGGGGGGCGAGCGCCGACCGCATTCGTCGGAGCAGGGCGGGCCGCCTGCCCGGACCCGGCATCTCACCTACGGCCCCTCGGGCTGTTCCCAGGCCCTGCGCCCGCCGCTCCCATCCTGGGACCTTGGGCCACTGCAAAGCAGGATGCCGCGGTTTGGCTCCCCACCCCACACGCCCCCACCGTCAGCGTGCCCGTCCCTGACCCTTAACCTCACCACGGCCTGCTGACCTGCCCGCCCCTCTTCCTTTCCCCAGAGCTCTCCCTCCTGTCAGGCAGCTGCCCCAGGGCCGTCATGGTGAAGGGGTTTGGGCAGGGCCCACCTGCACCCCTTTCTGCTCCTCCCTTTGCAACCCTGGCTTTCTGCTGAGGGCGTGCCCGCGGAGCAAAGCTTCCGGCTGCCCAGCCTCCTGTCCTCAGCCCTGCCCCAGAGGCCACTGGGGGTAAACTGAGTCAGGCAGCACTGTCCCCAGTTTCGAGCATCAGTCAGGGAGCTCAGGGAAGACCACAGTGGTCCGTTGAGTCTGGTCCTCCCTCTCCTCCCCACTCCTGGAGGGCTTGTTCCAGAAAGTCGGGGGACCAGTCCTTGCCTCTTCCTCCTGGCCCTTATGTTGGCACCTTGGCCTCCCTACTTCGGGTCCCCACACAGATTCCCGCCCATTCCAGTCTGCTTCAACCTGCAACCTGGTGCCTCCTGGGCCTTTATTCCAGACCTTCATCACCCCCATGTCTCCCTTTAGGGTCCTGATGATGTCCACGCGCCCTTGTTTACCACGGGGCTCTGGCTGGGGGAATCCCCGCTTTTGGCCCAGTGGAAGATGGGGTGCCCCCCCCAACTTTTCCTCCATCTGCACAGTTCAGGTGAGCAGGCATCCGATCACCAGGATGTAACTTGGCCAAACATGTCTCTTTCCCCTCTGTCCCTCACAACTTGGGGTCCAGCCTCCAGTACCCCAATCTCCTCCCTCCCTGGAGAACACACCGCAGGACACCTTGCCCCTCTGTGGCCCCCCCTTCCGACCAGTTCTCTTCCTAGCCCCCCCCACCCGCCCCGTCCCATCAGCTGACCCCGACTCCCATGCCATGATGAGATTTTGACATCCATCCTGTTTGGACCATCTGCGGCCCCGCCTCCAGAGGGCTCTAGAGCGACTGCACCTACCTGGTTACCCCAGCCCCAGGGGAGAGCCCTGCTCCCAGGGTCTCCTCTTCTCCAGCCTTGGAAGACAGAGGAGGGGGAGCCCAAGGGTTAGGTCAGAGTGGACCCTGGGGTGGGATGGGAGGCCTCCCCCTACACTCCCCTCTCTCCCCTCCCCCTCCTCCCTGGCCAGGGAGGGATCCCAGCCCCCACACACTCCTCATGAACAAGAGGAAAGGAATGAGAAAGGTGCGCCCGTCTGCTCCTGCCTCCCTCCTCCCTCGGGACTCTGCCTCCTGCCCCTGCCAGTGTGGCTGCCTTAAGGGGGTGTGTGTGGGGGGGAGGAGTGGTGGGAGAGAAGAAAGCCCCCTGCCCTCCTCCCAGGCCGCAGAGCTGACTTGGTGATGGTGCGGAAATCCTCCTGGAGAGCTGGTGAAAGCCAAGGGGCCTGCCCTGAGAAGTGGGAGAACTCCATTTCATTTGACCGGCAGACCCAGTGGGGGTGGGGTGAGGGGTGGGGGGGTGGGGGATACCTAAGTGGAGAACATCTTTTCCCATCTCCCCCAGAACCCCCACCTGGATGGTGGGAGGCAAGGAACCCACCACAGTGGATGTGTGGAGGTTGACAGAAGGTTGGGCGGGGGGCTGGGGGAGGGAGACAAGGAAGACTTCATCCTGCTCTGGCTCGTGGAAAAGGGTGTCACTGGGGGTAAACTGAGGCAGGCTGGCAGGCCAGAGCCTGGAGCAGTGGCAGGGCCTGAATGAAGGCGGCCTTCAGGGTTCACTTCCCCGGATCCTGACCCCACCTCCTCCTCCACCGCCCTCCTCGAGGGTCTGTTCCAGCAAAACAGCCCAGGTGCCAACCAAGGAGAGGCGTGCCAGGCTGGACCCGAGCTACCACCCCAGCACCTTTTTTTTAAGGTGGTAGGGAGGTGGTGGGGGAGCACGCCCGGCCTCCCAGGAGCACCCTGAGTGGGGATCTGGGGCACATGAGACCCCCAGGACGATGTCGTCCACCCCCAGCCTCCCCTCACCCGGCTCTCCTGGCCGGGATGCGAGAAAGCACAGCCCAGACTGCAAGACTCCGGGCCCTCCCCCGCCACCCTCTCCCTGGCTCCACCTCAGCCCCACCTGCTCCCCGGGGCGCTGGGCTGCCTGAGCTGAGCTGGGTCTTGCCCAGGATTATTTTCTCTCTCAGAACACCTCCTGTCTCTGCGCGCGCGGCTGCCGGGCACCGCCGCTCGCCCCAGCTTGTGGCAGAGGGCTCGGGGACCAGGCGGCCAGCCAAAGCCCGGGCATCAGGCCTGGCCGACATGTCCACTGTCTGCATCTAGCCTGGCCCGCCACCCGGGTTGGCTGGCCATCTCTCATCTCCCTCACTCACCCCACCCCCGCCCCCCACAGCTGCCAGCCCCTCCCCGTTTCCACAGCTGCCCCTTAGGCCATGAGTGCATGGAAATGAATGACTGGGCCCCTGGGAGATGCCCACCGGCACCCCTACTGACCGGTGGCACAGAGCAGGGTCTGAAACAGACTTGTGTGTGTGTGTGTGTGTGTGTGTGTAGCACAAGTTTATTGCCCGTCTCCCCAAGCCAGAATGGACCCCCCAGAGGGCAGCTGCTGTCTCTCATCTCACATCTGTATCCTGAGCACTCCCGGGGGGGGGGGGGGGGGAGGGGGACCAGAGTGCCAGGCCACAGAGGGTGCAAAATAAATAGGTTAAATGAATGGTAAGGGGAGAGGCGGGCAGGGGGGCGTCCTGGGGTCTCCGTGGAAGCTCTCGGCTGGCTGGAATCCTGTCCGTTTCCTCTTCTGAACCCGTCTCTGGCAGGTCACGGCCAGGACAAGAGGTGAAGGCCGAGAGCAACAAGCCCAGGAGCTGTCCTGAGCTGCAGTCTCAGCCCGGCTGTGCCCTCGGAGCATGGGCTCCAGGATCTGGGTCCTGGAGTCCCCAGGAGTGAGGCGTGGGGGGCGAGGGGTAGGGGGTCCAGGCAGGCCGAGCAGACCCTCAAGACGCAGGGGTGGGGGCGTGGGGAGGGGATGGAGGGGTGGGGGCGGGGGTGCCTAGAGGGAGATGGCGTGGTGGTCCCGGGATCCTTTCTCTCTCCGGAGCCAGTGTCCAGACGACACGGCGGCGGCGGCGGGCGGCGGCGTTGCTCACTTGCACACGCTCACCCACTCGGTGATGCGACACTCCTCGCAGACCACGAAGCAGCACCAGTGGAAGCGGCAGTGGCAGCGCTCGCTGCGCGTCTGGCGCAGGATGTTGTGGCCGCGGCCGCAGCAGAGGCTGCCGCAGCCGTCGGGGCCCGCGCTGCTCTTGTTGCACAGGCGGCCCGCGGTGCCCGCCGAGTCCAGGCGCGGCTCGCGCTCGCAGAAGTCCGGGGACTTCTCGAAGTAGACCAGGTCGGCGGGGCTGGCGCGGCGGCGCGGCGCGGGCGTGCCCGGCGCGGCCGAGGGCGCCCCCGACGCCGGCCCGGCCTCCAGCTGCCCGCTGTTGCGGTTGTGCGGCCGGATGAGCGTCGCCCGCTGGAAGCGGCCGCGCAGCAGCGCCCCCACCGCGCGGAACTCGGGCGTCACCTGCCAGCAGGTTTTGAGCTGGCAGCTGCCCGACGTGCCGTGGCATTTGCACTTCCGCCGCATGTTCTCCATCACGGCCTGCGGAGGGAGGCAGGGAGAGGGGAGAGGAGGGGAGGGGGGAGGTGAGGCCGGGGGCCCCGTGCAGCACCCCGCGCCCCCTCCTCCACCACCACCCCCACCACCACCATGCAGAACCAAGTCCTCGGAGGCTTTGGGAACCAGTTCCCGCGGGAGCGGATGGCACGGAGATCCCCGCCTCGCTCCGGAGCCAGCTTTCTGGGGGCCTCTCCATCCACCTCCCACCAGGACAGACACCCCCCCTCCCACCACCACCACCAACACCACCACTGGGGAATTCCCTCCTTCCTGCACCCCTCCTCTCCTCTCCCAGCAGCTGCAGGGGGGCCCTTGGGGCTGGAGGCTTTTGCTTCCTGAGGGGAGATCCCCGATCCCCAGGGAAATTCCGGCTCCTTCCAATCCCTGGAGTGGGGGGCAGCCTGGCTAGCTCCCAGCCAGCCACAAGGCCACTGGCCTTGCTCCAGGCTGTGAGCTGGTAGTCGGGGGTGGGGGTGGGGTGTGGGGGGCTGAAATGCCACCCCTACCGCTTCTCTTCTGGGCTCTGAAAGCCCATTGCAAGAAACATGGAAGGAAAGCTGGGGTAGGGGCTGGGAAGACCCCCCCCACCACACACACACACACACACACACACACACACACACACACACACACATTTCATACTAGCTAGGGTTGATTCTGCACAATGCTGAGTGCTAAGTTTCCTCCACAGGGATAAAAGGATGACAGCACCCAGGGCCAAGGGCACAGTCTGAAAAAAGAAGCAGAGAGCAGCCCTGTCACTCAGCCACGCAGCCCTGTGAAAGTGGAGAAGCTTCCAGGCCCATGGGGGACAACCCTACGGCAGCACCAGCTTCCCACCAACTGCCCGGCTCTCAACCTGCTCCCCAAGTTCCCCTCGGCTCCATTAACCTCCAGAGACCCCAGAGGAAGGGGCCCACATCGCCACATGCTCCTCCCCTCCCCCCTCCACTCCACACCACCAGCTCAGCCAGAGGAGAGCAGGACCGGGCCCTCCCCGAGGGACCGACCGTCCCCTCCACGCCTTCAAGGCTCTGCAGTTTGCACGTCAGCACCAAGTGGGAACCAGCCGGAGGCCTTCCCAGCCCACAGCTTGGGGACATCTGCTTCCCACAGGCAGCAGCTACGAATTAACCCGTTTAATGAGGAGGAGGAGGTGGTTCTGTAGGTCCTGGCTGGGAAAGTATCGGGGAGGGCCGGGTCCTGCTCTCCTCTGGGCTTGGGAAAAAGAGCTGTGTGCCTGCTGAGCCCAGGGCAGGGCTGGGTGGGAGGCTGGGCAGGACCTCCGAGGCGGAGTCTGCCTCAGTTTACCCCAACCCCTTAGCTAGGAGGGAAAGAGCGAGAGCTGCTGGGAGGGCTGTATGGCTGGAGAAGGGCATCCGGGATGAATGGAGAGGCCGAGAGAGGGGAGTGAGATGGAGAAGGTGCCAGTCAGAGGGAGGGCGGCCAGGAACCAGGGCTGAGCAGGCTGGCCCGGCCTAGGGAAGGGCTGGGCCAGACAGCCAGGCAAGGAGGGTGGCGCTACCACGGGGTGCAGGAGGTGCCGGGTGGTGTGTGTGTGCCCGTGTGTGTGTGTGAGTGCGTGTGTGCATGTTATGCATGAGCGTGCATGTGTGTGACTGTGTGTATGCATGTGTGTACATGTGTGCATGTGTGAGTGTGTGTACACATGTATGTATGCATGTGTGTGCATGAGTGTGTACGTGTGTGCATGCATGTGAGCGTGTGTATGCGTGCGTGTGTGCATATGTTTGAGTGTGCATGTGTGTGACTGTGTGTATGCACGTGAGTGTGTGTGTGAGTGCATGTGTGTGCCCACACAGTACAGACTGGCCGGGCGGGAGAACAAGGCTGATGTGAAGCTCAAAGCCCCAACACAGAGGAGGCAGTTCAGAAAAGGCAGACTTGTGTGCGCTCTCTCTCCCTCTCTCTTCCTCTTTCTCTTTCCCTCTTCTTTTCTCTCTCCCTCTCTCCTCTCTCTCTCTCTCTCTCTTTCTCTCTCTCTCCCTTTAAGATAGTATGAACATCTGACAACAGGAAGAAAAGGGGTTAGCTCAGTGATAAAGCATGTTGAAGGCCTAGGTTTGATCCCCAGCACCACCAAAAAAAATTTTTTTTTCCTTTTTAGATAGAGGCTTGAGAGTAGGGGAGGAAAAAGGCAGGCATTATTCCCCCCCCCACCCCCGCCAGAAACCCTGCTTTGTAGGGGTTCTTCATCCAGCCCAGAAGCGTGGCGGGGTGGGGGTGGGGGTCGCAGTGGCAGCAGGGTAGGGGTGGGGGCGAAAAGCTGTGGTTGGTGCACACACTTCATCCATCCATTCATGAGAGGAGAGTGGCAGGACCAGGCCGGTACCCTGTCTCGGCGAGTTCCCCAAAGTTCAGGAATCAAAGAGACGCAGGCTCGCCTGAGGCAGGGCCTCCTCTGTGCGGCCTCCCAGAGCCTAGCCCTAGAGCTGTTGGGGATCAACGCCCGTTTCTAGGCTTCATTAGGAGCGCCCAAGGAAAAGGGGCTGAGTTCGAGGGGTTCAATATGGTCCCAGGAGGAGGGGAGCACCAGGGGAGAGGGCCCTGGAGCAGAATGCATGGGGAGGGGAGGAGGGGGGGGTCTCACCTGCCTCCCAACTCGGTTGTTATGAAGCCGCATGCGCGCATGGATGTCTCGGTGCGGCTCCCGCGAGTCCAGAAAGTCCTTGGAGAAGCGCTCCCCAAAGCCCACGTCGGGGCTGCAGCCGCCCCACTCCCAGGAGTCCTGCAGGCCGGGGCTGGCAGGGGGCAGGGCTGGGTGCTCCGGGACGCCGTGGCTCAGGCCTTTCCCGCGCTGCAGCGCATCCAGCTGCAGGCGGTGCAGCTTCTGGCGGAAGGCTTCCTCGTCCCCTCGCCGGGATGCGTCGCAGCCGCAGGCCCGCAGCTTGCCCAGGGCGCATGCGTTGGACACCGCATGGACCACGCCGGCCGCCGCGATGGCGTAGGCGAAGGCGCTCTCCCGGAATCCTGCAGCGGAGGACCAGGGCAGAGTGGTTTCCAGTTGCCCTTCGCCTACCCACACCCAACCTTCAGGCCAAACCGGGGAAAGGCAAGAAACTGAGGCCCAGAGTTGGGGACCCCGCACCCAGGCGCAGAGTCCCAGGGGGCAGAAATCGCACTATAGGTACTGCACACAAAATGGGGTGGGGTCTCCCCACTTCTTTGCACCCTTTTCTTTATTTCATCGACATCATTCTTAGTAAGCCTAGAAATGCTTCCGCACAGTTCCAGTGGGGCAGAAAATTATCTGATAAGCACATTCTTTCTAAGACCAGGAACTTGGCGCATTACCTCTGCCCTAGTGGCAAATTTGAAATACACCTGCAGAAAGAAGGCAAAACCAGTTTTGGTTTAGCCTGGGATTAAGTTGGGATTAAGTTACTCCTGGCTCAGTGCTCAGGAGTTCAAGTAGTGCTGGGGCTTGACCCAAGGGTTCCACCATGCCAATCACGTGCTATGGCCCTTTGAGCATCTCCCTGGCCCCCAAGGCACAATTTATCCTGAGGAATAAATGACCTAGGGCTAGGGAGATAGTATACCAGGTAGGGTGCTTGTCTTACACATGGCCAAATCCAGTTAATCCCCAACATCCCATATGGCCCCTTGAGTACCACTATGAGTAATTCCTGAGTGCAGAGCCAGAAGGAACCTCTGAGCATTGCTGTGTGTGCCCCCTCCCAATAAATAAATGACCCATGATGAAGTTCCAAATCACAGGAAATATGAATGCACAGACAGATAAGAGATGGACACTCCCCCCATAGCTCCCTGTCCCCAAATTTCCTGCCTATACCATCCCCTTGGGCTGGAGCGATGGCCCCAGCGGGCACAGCGGTAGGGCGTTTGCCTTGCACACAGCCAACATGGCCGACCCAAGTTCAATTCCTCTGCCCCTCTCGGAGAGCCCCGGCAAGTTACCAAGAGTATCTTGCCCACATGGCAGAGCCTGGCAAGCTACCCGTGATGTATTCGATATGCCAAACACAGTAACAACAAAGTCTCCAATGGAGACGTTACTGGGCCTGCTAGAGCAAATCAATGAACAACGGGAGGACCGTGACCGGTCCTTATTATGTATTCAAGAAAGGACCCACTAGAAGCGGTTCTGGAACAAGTCTAAATAAACTTTGTACTCAGGAAGAGAACAGTGGAGGGGAAACCAAGAGGAGAGTGTAGCACTGCCCGGGCCTCTGGGTGATGGTGAGGAGACATGAGACTCAAGAAATCTAGATTCAGAGGTGGCCAAAAGTAGACTGGGGCCATCGCACAGAAGGAAGGCGTTTGCCTTGCACAAGGTCAACCCAGGTTCCATCCCTGGTCCCCTGAGCATGGCCGTGAATAATTCCTGAACTCAGAGCTAGGTGGAACCTCTGAGCATCGCCAGCTGTGGCCCCAAATGCCCCCATGCCCACAAACAAAATGCAAGAAAACAAAACAGAGACACCGAAAACCCTCCCAGCCCACGTGGAGGTATTGGGTCATAGACCCTGATATCAAACAGGGCATGACAGAGATCCACACGCCGTCCGTCGGTCTCCCTTTGCATCACAGGGGCTAGTTGTGGGAGGGCCTCTCCCTGTCCAGCACTGCCCATCCCCGACCCCCCCCACCAATATATTTACTAGATAAGAGCATGAACTTTGGGATCATGGTGCCTGGTTTAAATCTTGGCTCCGGCTGTGCCACCTCGGCCAAGTTGACTTGGCCTCTCTGTGCCTCGATATTCTCATCTACAAAACGGGGTTGTCATGCTCTGCCTCGTGATTGTTCCAAGAATGTCATAAATTAGCCTACAGAAGGTGCTGAGACTTGTACTCTATTCATCTGTGTACTGTTTTTTTTTTTCCCCATAAACAGGAGCTATTATCATGGAGAAGTTCTTCTTGCTGTCCAGCCCCCACTCACTGCTGCTACAGTTTCAGGCCCCTGCTCTGTTGGTGCCCCCCTTGGGGCAGACCCCAGCATCACAGGACCTCCAGGTGGTCCCAAGAGCTGCCTGCCTCCCTTGAGCTTTTCTTGCCTGAGTGCAAGGCATCATGGGACTTGGGTCACAAGAAGCCCAGTGGCGGGCGTGCAGGCAGGAGGGGCCAGGGCTGGGGCCAGCCAAGGGGCTGGTGGGAGCTGAGGGAGCCACAGAGGGTGGTGCCCACTGGAGAGGGACGCAGCCCCGGGGCTGGCGGAGCAGACCCTGGCTTTAATCTGCACGGCCCAGCACCGCTCTTGGTGGGCCGGTTCTTTCCTGGGACACACTCAAACTCCAGAGGCATCTGCGCCCTCAAAAATCTACCCGCGCAACCCACACTGCTCACGCGGGCAGCCCAGTGTCCGGGGCTTACAGGCTGCCCGGGATCTCCCAGATGCCCAGCTTGGCAGCGCTCTGGGGATGGACGCTTGGTGTGAGGGAGTCCAGTGGCTGAGAAGGGAGGCCGGGTGGATGCCCTGTCCCCGTAGGCCTGGTCTGCACACAGCTGCGGGAAACAGCTAAGGCTGGTCCCCATGCCAGACCAACGCCCTTCTTCCAAGGTCCCATCATCATACTCAAGGGTGAGGTCAGAGCAATCGGGAGCGGTGCGGCCCCCTGTCTCCCCCACTGCCTGCAGAGACCCCCGTTCCAGATGCGGCTATGCACACGATTCCACACTCCAGCCGCTGTCACAGCCATGCAGTACTACCACGGGGGCCAGGCCCGACAGGGTAGCGTCTCTCCTTCTGCTCCCAGCATCCCCAGACCTCAGAGAAGCCCGGCCCACTGGGTCTGCCCCCAGCTCCCAGGCCGGGCCCCAGTTTCGGTGCTGGCCCCGACTGTCTGGGGCAGACGCAGGCACCATGCCATCTGGCCAGCTGGAGGGAGAGAGGGGCGGGGCCGTGGCCAGCTGGGCTGCCCCACGCCTGGGGGGGTGTGCTCGTTAAGACGCACAATTAGCTGCCCCGCCTTTGATCTGGGCCAAGGCCCCCGCCAGCATCTAAGTGCTGTCAGCTGCTGCTACAGGCCGCAGCCAACGGCCAGGAAGGGGCTGGGGGGAGGAGGGGGGTGTGGAGGAGAGAGAGGTTCCAGGAGTGGAAACGGGGGGGGGGGGGAAATGGGGCAGCCCCATCATCTCCCTTTGCTCCGAGCCAGGCTCTGTGCCGGCTGGAGAGGTCTGGGCCCCTAGACCTGGGAGTTGTGTGGATCAGCATGACACTGAATAGTGGCTTCTTGTTGGCACACACGGGTAGGTGGGAGGTACCGGCATAGACTTCGTTACTTTGTTTTCTTTTTTCTTTTTTTTTTTTTTTTTGTAAGAGCTCCCCTAGTGCCAGCGTGCCTCTGGGCACCTGTCAGGAGAACGGGCTGGGCTTGTGCCTTTGGGAGGATTTGAGGGGGGGGGGGGGTAGGGACACTCACTAGGACCAGCTGGCCTGCGTCTGAGGCCTGGCTCTGCCGCTCACTTCCCAGCCAGGAGACTAATGGCAAGTTACCCGGCCACTCGGCTTCACTTGTGAAATGAGGATAATAATAGGACTCAGAGCTGGGGGCGGCTGAAGGACCCTCAAGTACAAATAAAGTGCTTTGGAGTGGTTCCAACACCATTCCAACGGAACAGGTTGGCTGACCGATTAGAAACCTTTAGATTCACAGGAACTTGGGGTGGGGGGCTGACACTGAACTTTCTGAACCTCTGTCACCCTCTCTGAGTATGTCCACAGTCCCAACACCTGAAGAACGAAGGAAGGTGGGAGAAGAAAAAGGAAGGGGGAGTGCAAAGAGATAGTGCAGTGGTTATGGCACTTGCTTTGCATGCAGCCAACCTGGGTTCGAGCCTCAACACCAAATAGGGTCCCCTCAGCACAGAGCCAGGAGTGACCCCTGAGTGCAGAGCCAGGAGTAAGCCTTGAACATAGCCTGGTGTGTGGCCCAAAGGAAAAAAAAAAGGAAGATAGAAAAAATAAGAAGAAAGAGAGAAGAAAGGAAAGGAAAGAAGGAAAGAAAAGAAAAAGAAAGGAAGAGGAAAGGGAAGGAGGAGAGGGAGGATAGGAGAAAGGAGAGGAGGGGAGAGGAGAGGAGAGGGGAGGGGAGGAGAGGGGAGGGGAGGAGAGGAGAGGACGGGAGGGGAGAGGAAGGGAGGAGAGAGGAAAAGAAGAGAAGAGGGGAGGGCAGAAGCCAGGCTGGCCCTGCAGATGTGCTCCCCTCTCTGGCAGAGCCTGAGGCATGAGCACCCCTGTTTCCTGAATTCCCAGGAGTCTGGGCCCTAGGAAACGCAGGTTCTGGGGCCTGCTGTAAACCCCACCAACCACCACGCCCTGACCCCTCAGCCCCTCTCAAATGCCGAGCCCTGTCCCCCAATCTCCCACAGCCCAAGTGAGAGGGAGAGAGGTGCCCCAGTCCTCATAACGAAGAGCCCCCCCTTGGACAGATGTTTGGCCCAGCACCCACCCACTCACCTACTGTTTTCACATCCCGGGATTCAGAACCAACAAGCACCCAGCACCCTGGGCACTTGGGTCACAGCTGCCCCTGGACTGGACAAAGCAGCTGGGGTGGGTCAAACAGTTTGTCCTTCCTCTGATCCTCCCTCTCCGGAAGGTCCCTCTCCCTATGACCCCCCCCCACACACACACACACACACACGCCCGACTCCTGCCCCTGCAGCTCCTGGGCCGGATGAAGGCCTATTCAGGATGCTGCATCTCAGTTTCCCGGGTGTCTTCCCGAACCCCATCGCCTTAGCCTGGCACATCTCAGACAAGGGTCAACAGCTTGATGACAAGCACAGGTGACAGTGACAGCACTAAGCCTGGGCTCCGCCTCCGCCCAGCTGACCCTGAAGTATACTTTATTATCATCCTGGTTTGGGGTGTCAGTGCTCAGGGCTTACCTCTGGCTCTGGGCTTATGCCAGGGGTCACTCCTGGATGTGCCCGAGCAGGGGAGGGGGACACTATGCATGTCCAGGATCAAACCGGGGCCTCCAGGTGTAGGACAAGCGCCCTACTGGCTGGTCTCTCTACTCCCAAGCCCTGGTTTTTCCCCTGGGCAGAATGCCTCTTCGAGAGAATGCCACCAGCATCCTGGACACCACGCCCCACAATAGCGTGAAAACAGGGGGCCTTGAGGAGGGACCATCCCAGGGTCCCTCAAGTTCCTAAAGCCTCAGGGATTCCAGTTTAATCCTCCGGATGACCAAAAGCCAAAATTGGCCCGAAAGGACCCTGGAGCGTGGTGAACCGGACGTGTGCCCGGGAGGGGGCGCCCGGGTGGTCCAGAGAGCCCTCCAATGGGGTGTCGCCCGGGCAGGACCAAAGTCACCGAGACCTGAGTCCAGGCCCCCGCCCACGGGCCCGCCCTTACCGCCGCGCCGTCCCGCCCCCCCCCCCGTCCGGCTAGCCCTGGCAAGTCTCCCCCCTCCAGCCCTAACCTCCCCCCCCCCCCCAGCGGCCCCCCGGCTCACCTCCCGCTTATTAAACTGCAGGTGAACCCGGGAGCGCCTGGCGCTTCGCCAACCCCGCGCCGCCGCACCGCTCCGCGCTCAGCCCCAAACTTCCCAGACCCCCGCACGTCCTCTCCCGGGACGCCCTCCCGGGCCGCGCCGGGCCAAACCATCGGAACGCCGGGGAAAACTCAGTCCAGCCGTGGGGGGTGGGGGGTGGGGGCGGACAGACCACGGGGAAGAGACCCCCACCCCCGGAAGCCGGGGAGAGGGGCGCAGCACTGGTTGGACCCGGCCTTGCGTGCGCAGCAGCGCTGGGATCCCGGGCACCCGGCAGGGCCCTCGGGGTTCGGGAGCGCCGGTGACTTAAGCACCCGTAGGGGGAGCGCGCGGCGGGCCGGGCCGGGCCGGGCCGGGGTTGGCAGGAAAGGGGCCGAGGCCTGTCACTTCGTGCCGGCGAGCGCGGGCGGCGCAGGGGTCCCTCGGCCGCTCAGGGGCAGGGCGGAGGGGGGGAGCGGGGGGTCCCCGGCGCGCGCGCGCCCACCGCGGGGAGGGGTGCGGGCGGCGCGGGGGCGGGCGCGCGGGGCGGCGCGGCTCGGGCTGGGAGCCGTCTGCGGGGCCCGCGGGGATTAGTTCGCGGCTGCATGCCGCCACACGCGGCGGGCTGGGCTCGGCCGGGGAGAAACAGCGCCCCGGGCGCGCGGGGGAGGCGGGAGGGGCGCGCGCGGGGGCGGGGCGGGGCCGCGCCGGGCTTGGGGGCGGGGGGGGGGTGCCCGTGACGCCAAGGCCGCGGGATGCCCAGGGGACCTGCTGGGATGGCCATGACCCACCCCCCACCCCCCTACCCTAGCCAGCGCTCTGACCTCTGTGTGAAGTTGGGGCACCTGGGAGCCCTGCCCGTGCCAGAAATCTCTGGGTCCCAAAGATACAAGTTAGAGGGGTATCCCTCTGCCCCTCCCGATATTGGGCAAGACCGGGGGAGCCAGGTTCCCGCACTGTGCCCCCCTCCAGGGAACCCTCCCCCCCCCCACACACACACCAGCCACCAAGCAGCTAAAAGATTCAGCAAGGCCCCTGAGGGAACAGCCCATCTTTCCCCAAAGTCCCAGTCAAGAGGACGCAGTGAGCACTGGAGGCCCTGGTGAGCAGAATGAGCTGCAGACCTGCCACAGTCCAGCCTGAGCCACTGAGAGGAAGCGTCTCCCATGTCCCCCAGCTACTGGCAGGTCGAGGATGGCCTGGAGGAAGAGGGTCGGCAGGAGGCTGGGCACACCCAGTGCCTCTGATTCAGAGGACTTGGGGGCAGAGAGGGTGACACAGAGCTGGGGCCGCCCCTCCGGGAACAGCCGCGGTGAAAATCCCGCTGGCACGACCTGCTTCCCTCTAGACCCAGACCCTCTTCCCAGGCACTCTGTATCCTCATCGCTGTCTGCTGGAGAGGGGGGAAACTGAGGCAAGGGGTGGCCAGCCTTATCTCCCTGGAGGCTGAGACATGCAGTGTCCATGATAGGACATCTGGCGTGGACAAAGCCCCCCTCTTCCCCCCTGATACCCAGCCTGGAGCTGCATTCTACCTCATGTGTCCACCCCGGGCCCACCCCACCCACCCCAGAGGTTTTCAGGGGGCAGGAGGTGGTGACCGGAGGTATCAGCAGAGCTGGCAGCTAGGCCCCAAGGGAGCAGGTCAGCTGGGGGGTTGGGCTTGTGGGGGGAGGTGAGGCTGGGATTGGGTGCCAGACGGGATGAGCACTGGGCGAGCCAGTGGGGACGGGTACCTCTGCTGAAGATGGGGTTCTCGTAGGGGATCTTGTTGCGAGTCTCAAGACTGGAACAGTTCCAGCGCTGGTCCCGGAACTGGTGCTGGCACTCGTGGATGGCGATCTGGATGCCCTGGATGGCCGAGGCGGCCACGTCGGGGTGGCGCACGCACACCTCCATCTGCCGTCTGCTCAGGCCAGGCAGCGTCAGACACACGGTGTTGGCATTGAGCACGGGCTCCGGGGGCAGGCGGAGGCCCAGGATGTCATTGGGTGCCGACCTGAGGGCAGGTGGGGTGAGGTGGGGGCTGAGAAGGTCCCATCCGGCATGACATTCCACATCTCGGGATTCTGGACCCCACCTTCTCAAGGTCAGCCCGCCCGCATCCCAACAACACAACCCTCCCCTTGCACCCCACCTCGGTCCACTCCACACAGTGTGCCCCAAGCACCCCCTCAGCAGGGGAGCCCCCCAAGGCAGGTGTCCCAGGGGCCAGTGGCACAGCTCAGCAGAGGGCACAGCCCTGCTAGCAGACCCACTGCTGGGCTCTCACCCTTGACTGGTGGCATGGACCCGCACATGGAGGCCGTGGGAACCTCGGGGACCCCCACTAGCTCTCCGGGGCACCCACGTGCACCCACACGCTGCTGTTTACAGCGCAGTTTGCCGCTCCCTCCGGCGCCTGCGCACACCCCACCCTCCCAGTGCCCTTCCAGCTGTGGTCTCCACCGCCCCCCCCACCCCCACCCCGGGCCTGGCCTGGCCGCTCCTTCCCCTACCCAGTGCCGGTCCCTACCTGGGGGACAGCCTTCGAGGTGGAGCAAAGACCCCCCGGGAGGCAAGTTCTGGGAGGAGGTTCCATTCCCTCAGCGGGGCCTGGGTCCCCGGGTTGGCACTTGCTCCCCTCCCCCACCCTCCCCCTCAAGTAGCCCTCAAACTCCCGGGCACTGCCCAGAGTCCCTGAGCTGTCACGGGTCAGCCCCCTGCCAGGACAAGCAGTCTCTCAATGGGCCCCAGAGCTGCCCCAGGACGCTCGCCCTTCCTCCTTTCGGGTCTCCAGGCCCCGCGGTGGCGCGCGCGGCCCCGGGGTCCGGGGGTCTCAGAGCGGCGGGAGGCGGGGCGTAGCGCGGGCTCACCTGGGCACGGCGGCTGCCAGCAGCAGGAGGAAGAGCAGGAGCGCGCAGAGCGCGGGCCGCGGCCGGGGCCAGGGTCCGAGCCGCCGCCAGGGGCCAGGGTGCGAGCTGCCCATGGCGCGAGGGCCGGGGCCGGACGGGAAGTGGGGGGGCTCACGGCCCGACGAGCCGGGGCCGGCGGCGCATGATCCGCGGGGGTCGGCTGGCTGCGACACACAGCTCCGACTTGACTTGGGTCACAGCTCCGGGAGCAGACGGCGCCCGCCTCCCCGCTCCATGGGGCAGCGCCCCCGGGCACCGCCCTCGGGGGGGGGGTGCGGGCGGGCGCACCGGCCACCTCCTGGCACAGGGGTCCGGGGAATTTCCCGAGGCCCCCCTGCCCCAACTCCCAGTGCTTCTGGAGGGTAAGGGGGGCCCGGAGGTGCGGCGGGCGGGGAGCGCGAGGCTGGGGTGCGGGGAGACCCCCCCACACCCCCAACGCAGAGCCGCGAGCCTGTGCTTCCGAGGGCGGCGTGCGAGGTGGGCGGGGGTGGGGGGGTGCAGGGGGGCGGCGCTGTCTGTGCCGCGAGAGTGATCCTACTGTCCCGGGGAGCAACGCCGCCTCCCCTCTCCCCAACCTCCACCTCCCCCGCCCCCCCCCCCCGCCGCGCGCACCCCCCACATGTGGAGAGTCTCCGGGCTCTACCCCACGTGACGTCACGGAAGGAGTGCAGGAGTGGAGCTTTGCAGGCGTTCCCGGGCCACCGCATCTGTCCGTCTGTCGGTCCGTGCAGGACTGAGCTGCTGCGAGCGTGCAGGGGCGGGGCAGGCGTGGGGGTCCGCGCGCCCGCCCGGGTGGCGGGGAGGGGCGGCGCGCGCGCTGCTGGGGGTGGGAAGGGGGTGCGCTGGGCGAGACGCAGCTGCTGGGGGGCGTCCCCCCTACACACCTGCAGGAGCGGGAGGCGGGGCGGCCCCCGGCTTCTCTCCTACCCACCCCCCACTCTGGAGGGACTTCCCGGGCCCCAAGAGGTCCAGGTGGGGTCCCTCCCGAGAGAGGGGGGGGGCGCTCGGCGCTCTCTGGATTATGCCACCTTAGACAGGAGTTCCCGGGGTCCCTCCTTCCCTGCTCAGCCACCCTCTGCCCCTTTGTCACCTATGGTGGGCAAGTGGTTGGGTGGGCATATAGGTGCCTGGGCACTGTCTCCCCACCCCCACGGGGTGACACACTTCCGGAAAAGGCATCAGAAGCCTTTGAGTCTTACAAGTGTGCTTTGGGCTCGTCTTTTCTCCCCTTTTCATTTTATAAAACAAGGACCACAGTTCAGAGAGGGCCGTCACCTACTCAGGGTCACACAGCAAGTCCCGGAGTTCAGTTCTCAGCAGCCCCGTCTTGCTGTGGCCCTGCCACCTGTATTCCGCTTCAAACCTCCTGACACCAGCCTTCCTGAGGTGTCCCTGTTTGTTCACTCACTCCTCCCTGCACAGAACTGCTCTCAATGGGGTGTCTGGGGACTTCCCAGCTCCCCTAAACCCCCCTCCCAGCTAGAGGGTTTGTTTGTTTTTTCTTTTTGCTTATTGGGTCACACCCGGCCATGCACAGAGGTTACTCCTGGCTCTGCACTCAGGAATCACCCCTGGCGGTGCTCAGGGGACCATATGGGATGCTGGGAATCGAACCCAGGTTGGCTGCGTGCAAGGCAAACGCCCTACCCGCTGTGCTATTGCTCCAGCCCCCTCCCAGCTGGAGGTTGGGGGCAGAGGATTCAGATTATTCTATTTTTCTTTTCTTTTCTTTTTTCTTTTCTTGCCACACCAGGTGATGTTCAGGGGTTACTCCTGGCTCTGCACTCAGGAATCACAACTAGCGGTGCAGGAGTGGGGGGTGTGAAGGAAGCATATGGGGTACCCGGAATCGAACCTGGGTCAGCTGCGGGTGCAAGGCAAAAAAGCCCTCCCCGCTGTCCAATCGCTCCAGCCCCTTCTGTTTCTGTTTGGAAGCAGCTCCTCCTTAGGGACTCCTCCCACTGTCTTAGCATCCCTCCCCCTGCCCCCCCTGAAATGGGCACCTGCCCCCCTCCCCGCCAGCTTCACCCTGCAGAGAGCCCCTGATGGGGAGGAAAGGAGATGGCTGGGCGTGGGGGGGGGTGTTGGTTGGTTGGTTGCAGGACACTAGTGAGTTCTCTGAGACAAAAGGGGGCCCAAAGGGGGCTGTTCCTGGAATTACCCATCCCTGGGGGGGAAGGGGGGCTCCCCGGTCCCCAGACTGTCAGGTGGTGGGGCCCCCTGAGCAACAGCAGGCTGACAGCAGAATCCCCATCCTGCCCCCCCCCACCTCTGCCGGCAGCCACCACTGCAGCTGTCAGGAATTAAGGGCTTGAGGCTGCTGGGGGTGGGGTGGGGGTGGGGCCCCGAATGGAGTGTGTGTGGGGGGGGGGAGCAGTCTGGCCAACCGCAGGAAAACAGCCGGAGGCGGGAAGCCGTCTGCTGCGCGTCAGCCAGAGCCTGGTGTGACCCCAGCAGCCCCCCTGCCCCACCGTGACCTGCTCTCTTGGTGACTGCAGGGCCCCCCCGGGTGGGGAAACGCCGGCCTCGAAAAGCAGTGGCCGGTGTCAGGCTGGGACAAGCCAGCCCCGAGGAGACAGCTGTGCATGGGCTGCCAGGGGGAAACTGAGGCTGAGAAACAGACCCAGGTTCTTAATCCAGGAAGCAGGTTTATCATCCAGGCTGCAGCTCCGTCCCGCAATTCGGGCATTTCCCACACCGAGTGCAGCTTGTCTGGGGTCCTCATCTCCAGCCCCACGTCCCAGCTGCGGGGGACCCTCTGTGGGAAGTGCCAAAGAGCAGCTTGAAGGGCTCATTATCGCGCCCCCCTGCGCATCCCCTACTTCAAGGAACCAGGGTGCTAAAGGGAGGAGAGGACACATCTCTGAACACCCCAGGAGGGAGAAGTTCCCAGGCCACGCTGACCCTGGGACTTGCAGGCCAAATGTCAGGGGTGCTGGGTCCCAGGGAGGGACTCATGGCAGCCCGGGGCCAAGCTCTATGGGGGAGACAGGCCCCACCCTTCCCTGCCCTGGCCTCTGGCCCTCGGCCCGGCACCAAGACCACAATTACAGAGGCCACTGGGGAACGCGGGGAGCCGGGGATGAAAGACAGTTTGGAGAATGGTTCCAGCTGTAAAGGCCCGAAAGTGGGTGCAGGGGAGAGGGGTGGGCGAGGTTGTCAGGGGTGAACAGGTAGGACCCCACTGCCCCAGCTCGCCTCAGCGCAGCCCAAGCTCTCACCTCTGATGTTCTCCCCGAAAAGCTGGTGGCCAAGAAGAGCGATAAGGAAGCCCAGAGGGGTCAGGGGACCGGGGCACTGCCCTGGGTTCAGGGACAGTACGGGGCCCTCAGCCAGGTACAGGGACTCGGGGGCTTGCTGCTCTGGTGACCCCGATTCCCGACACATTGGGCGGGTGAAGGGAAGGGGGTACTTTTCCAAGCCTGACGCTGCAGGCTGATGCCAGGCCTGGCCGCTGCCCTTCCCCCCCCCCCATCTGCCCGCGTTCCGCTGTTCCTGATGTGGTCACGCACACATCTGGGGCACTGCTGTGTCCTGCCCCCACCCCAGTTCCACATGGTGCCCTGCCACTCAGCCAGCACTGGGGTGTGTGCATGTGGGGGGGGGGGGGGGTGGGCAGTGGTGATGGCTCAGCCGGTGCCTGGGGCTGGGCAGCTGGGTGAGCAAGGGGGGTGGGGTGGGGGAGGCGGCCTTTGGGGGCCCTGTGTCCAGCCTCCTTCTCAAGTCCAAGAAGGCAGAGCCATGTGCGAGCTCCCAGGGTGCCTTGGGGGCCACCCTCACGCCTTCCTGCTGGGACACCCACACAGAAGGTGTGGTGAGGGTCTTCCAGATCGCCCCCAGCACATTCAAAAGTCTCCCTTCCTGGTTCCCAGTGGGGAGATCGAGGTTCAGAGCAGTCAGTGACTAGCAACCTAGTCATCCAATTTTGCATGCAGTTCCTCCAAATTCCAGTTAATCTGGGGGGGGAGAGGGAAGGGTGTTGGCGAAGCATGCTACAGCCTCAGTTTCTCTCCCTGGCACCTCTCCTGCGCCATCTCCCAGGGCATGGTCCAAGTGATGGGCCAGCCCAGGGAACCCAAGCAGACCGGGTGTCCCTTTATTCTCTTTTATCCCACCCCCTCTTGCCCAAGGGCTCCCAGCTGCCCAGGTGCCAGCAGCGCCTGGTTAATAGGAAGCTGGGCTGCGTGCGCCCTCTGGTGGTATTTTGGAGAAGTGCAGCGAAACGGTATCCTACCCCCGCCCAGAGCTCTGGGGACCGCCTTGTTGAAAATATAAATTCGATCCGTTTCCTTTTCCCTCCATGGGGTCCACATGATGCTTTGGGTGGGCGTTCAGGGAGGGGGGAAACCCTTTGGACCACATCCGGTGGGGTTTCCCCCGGCTCTGTGCTTGACTCCGGCGTGCGATGCAATCCTGGGGATGGAACCCAGGCCTCCCCATGTGAACTAGGCACTCAGTCTACTGAGCTCTCTCTCGGCGGCAGAATTAAGAACTAAGAATTAATTAACCCACTTTGCATTAAGAACTTCTGTGTTGGGATTCTGTGTTGCATTTCACTGAGGCCCAGGCATTGGTCCCCAGGGAGCTAGAATAAGGCAGGACAGAAGACCAAGATGCCCCTTCCCTGCTCCCCCACTGCACAAACCACCCTCAGGAGGCCCCCTAGGGAACGTCAAAGGCTGGCCCAGGCTAAGATTCCTTAAGCATGTAAATATGTATTGACCTTATCTGATATGAAGGGTGTTTTGTGTGTGTGTGTGTCTTGCTTTTGAGCCACGGCCTGGCAATGCTCAGGGATCATTCCTGGAGGACTTGGGGGGACCATATGGGAGGCCCAGGCAGAACCTTGGTAGGCAAATTCACTACTCACCCTGCCTGCTGTACTATGGCTCCAACCCCAGTGAAGGGGCTTTTTGAAGCCTAATAGAGCATGCAGGGAGTAGAAAAATATTCAAGTGAAAGTTAAGCATAATCCTTTGAGATCATCAATGGCTAGATCAAACTTGGGCCCAGAGCATAGGGAGGAGAAGAAAGAAAGGATGAAGGGAAGGGGGAGAAGAGACAGTTGAGAAGGGGGCAGGTCAGGGGAGCCAGGTACAAGGGTTGTGTTAAGAAACGACAGAGCCAGAGTCAGCAACCCTGAAATCAAGAGACCCAGACTTTAACAACCGAACATAGAAAGATGCTGTCAAGAGGGCGAGTGAGGTGGGGGGCCCGCTGGGGAATGCGGGAGGGAGAGTGGACTGACACTGGTGGGTGGATCAGTGCTGCCACATAGTATGTCTCAAACTCAACCGAAAAGAATGTTATCAATCATGCTGTTTTTGTGAGTTTTTTTTAATTCATACATGCAAGGAAAGTCATTCAGTAGCTGAGCATGGTGGGTTTGGCGGGGGTGGGGTGGGGGGAGGCCCTGAGTGTTTGATGTTTTCTTCAGCACAGTTCTTGTTTATTAAATAGCTAGAAATGGGGCTGTTTTATGAATTCCTGTTACCAAAAAAAAAAAAAAGGAGGAATCTCGGAATGTATTTCCTTGTAGTTGTCAGGTTGCAAAAACAATAAAAACAACCATTTCTCCCTGTCTCAAGGGGAGACAGACGTGCTGCAGCCATGGGTGGGGGGCTGTCCCATCCACGACGTGCTCCCCTTCCTCCTGCTTTGCTTAAAGGACCCTCCTACCGGCACCCCCAGTCCCTGAAGCTCTGGGGGTGCCTATCCCCACCATGGCATGCCATCTGTCTGGGCATCGTTACTGGTTCAGGGAGAGGTATGTGACCCAGCGTCCCTCAGGGCACCACGTGGGTTCCGGCTCCCTCTGAGAATGCGGACATCAGGCTGCAGAGGGGGGAGACAGGGGTTCAGAAACAAACAGAAGCTGCCGGGGTCTGGGGGGGGGATGAGGGAAAGAGGTGGAAGAAAGATGGGGGCAGAGACCTCAACCCCAATTCACAAGTCCCCTAGAATCCCCTAGAATCCCCCGTGTACATGTTGTTAATGGGCTCCACTCAGCCGATGTTTTCGTTCATTTGAGGGATTTGGGGCAGGGGGCGGCCACATCCAACTGTGCTTAGGGGTCACTCCTGATGGTGACTAGGAGTACTTAGACGGTACCGGGGATCAAATCTAGGTCAGCTGCCTGCAAGGCAAGCACCACCTAACCCCCTGCACTGTTTCTCTAGCACTTGTTTATTTGGGGGGAGGCAGGGTGATAGGATGGGGGTAAAGCTCTCTTTTATACACAAACAACTGCTTTTGATACCTGGCACCCCCTATCCTGAGCCCCCCCACAAGTGATCCCTGAGCACAGAGTCAGTAGTAAGCACAGAGCACCATTGGGTGTGACTTTTCCCCCCCAAAAAAAAATAGAAATAGGGGCTGGAGCGATAGCACAGCATTTAGGGCGTTTTCCTTGCATGCAGCCGACCCAGGTTCGATTCCCAGCATCTCATATGGTCCCCCAAGCACCCCCAGGAGTAATTCCTGAGTGTATAAGCCAGGAGTAACCCCTGTGCATCACCGGGTGTGACCAAAAAAGCAAAAATAAATAAATAAATAAAATAATAATAATAATAAATACATCCAGCAGTGTTTAGGGACTATCCCAGCATAGTGCTTGGGGGTCAGCTTGGGGGTCACGCCCATCGGTGCTTGTGGGAGCGCTGAGTGTCAGGGATTGCCTCAGGGCCTCCTGCCTACGAAGTATGCGCTAACCACTGAGCTCTGGCTCCAGCCTGCCCTAATGCAGAGGGGCCTGTCCGGTACCTGCAAAGTGTCAGTTCAGTTCCCCTTCTCACGGTCACCACCACTGGTTCAGCTTCAATGTGAGGCAAACGCTCATGTGTCAAAGGCTGTGCTCAGTGCTCTCAAACAAACAAACAAAAACCTGACCCACCATTCTCTAAGGCCATCCGAGATGACAGTGGCTGCGAACGCTCTTGGAGGGGAAGTGGCACCCAGTGACGTGCAGACTCACCATTCCCAGCTCGGTGAGTGGTGGGGGACACCTGATGGCACTCTCTCACGAGGCCAACCCCCAGACTGCTGCCAATTCTCTGCCTCCCCTTTGCCAGGGGCTCTCTCTCCGCCTCTGCCTTGGTCTGGTTGTGTTGGCCAGAGTGAGTGATGGCGATAAGGTCTAACCTCTGGGTACGATTAGTTCTGCCTGCCCATGAGAGCAGCCTCCTCTGAGAAGTGCGGCCACGTGCGGCCTCTAGCTGGAGCAGAGGCCCCAGGAGAAGCTTTGGGGTGCTCGCTCTACAAGGGGGGGCCTCTCAGGCCGCCCAGTGAGTGACCACGGGTGGTAGTTCCACCATCTGGAGAGGCAACACTTAGCAGAGCCCGAGCAGAGGCCTGCCTCTGGGTGGGAGAGAGACTTATAGGAGTTAAGGGACCTGCCTTGCCCGCAGCCAGCCCAGCACCCCACAGAGGGCCGAACCAAGGAGCCCCCAAGCCCTAGCAGGAGAGAGCCCTCAGCACAGAGTCAGGAATAAGCCCTGAGCATCACCAGATGTGGCCTCAAAAACAAACAAACAGGGGCTGGAGCAATAGCACAGAGGGTAGGGCGTTTGCCTTGCACGAGACCAACCTGGATTCAATTCCCAGCATCCCATATGGTCCCCTGAGCACCGCCAGGGGTAATTCCTGAGAGCAAGGCTAGGAGTAACCCCTGTGTATAACCGGGTGTGACCCAAAAAGAAAAAATAAAACATGGACCTTGCACGCAGTCAGCCTGGTTTCAGCCCCCAGCACTCCGTATGGTTCCCTGAGCCCCACCCAGGATCAATGCCTGAGCACAACCTGGAATAGCCCCCAACCCAAACAATAAGAAACTGGACTAGAGCCTGTATTGGAATTTTCCAATAAGCATCCAGCCCCCGGCCCTGGGCGCCGCATCTAGAAGATGCTGGCCAAACAGGAGGAGGAGAGATGTGTGTGTGTGTGTGTGTGGGGGGGGGGGGGGCGGGTGTTTCTCTGACTTGCAGTCATTTGGCGCTGCTGTCACCCCCCTCTTGCCCTGGAGGAAGACGGTAAGAGATTTGACTCTGGGGGAGGCAGAACTCCATTATCTTTCTCAGCATCCCCAGAGGAACCAGAAGGAAGTTTCTGGTGGTGGGGGGGTGTTGCTGGGGAGGGAAGCCACAGGACCACTTAGCTAGGTTTCCCCCTCACCCTCTGGTGTGCTCAGAAATGTTTTCTCTCGGGGCTGGAGAGATAGTTGAGTGGGGAGGGCGCTTGCCTTGCTTGCACTCGGCTGCCCCTGGTTCAACCCCCAGCATCCTTATATGATCCCCTGAGCCCTGCCAGGAGTGATGCCGGAGTGCAGAGCCAGGAGTGATCCTGAAGCACCACTGGGTGTGGCCCCAACCTTCCCCCCTCTCCCCATTGCTTTATTTCAGTGAGGGGATGCGGCTTCATTTTCTTTCTCGTGGAGCCTGTTGTTACAAAGAACTGATTTTGATTTTCATCCCGTTCCAACTGTTGATAAAGCGCTTTAATCAGAAGGGCCTGGGTGGTCCTCAGAGCTGACCCTTGGGCTCCCCAGGATCATGAGAGCTAGGAGGGAATGTGGAAGTGAGGTCACCCCACCTGCAAAACTGCCAGGAAGGCTGAGCTGAAAGCTGAGTGCACCCCAGAGCTTCTGGGCCCCTCTTTTTGGGAGGAACCCTCTGGGGCGGCCACTAAGGAGGGATTGCTAGTTAAGCCCTGGAGATATAAGAAGACATCGAGGGCTGGGGCTGGAGCAATAGCACAGCACGCAGGACACTTGCCTTGTGCTGGCAGACCCAGCTTTTGTCCTAGGCATCCCATATGGCGTTCTGGGCACTGCCAGGAGTAACTCCTGAGTATCACCAGGTATGGTCCCAAAAACCCAAGATAAACAAAAGAAGACATCAAGGGAGAGATATGGGAACCCTCTCATCACCCTATGTTTGGAAACCCCCTCAACACCCTGTGTGTATGTGTGTGTGTGGAGGGGGGGATTAGGGACTGAGGGTGACCAAATGCACCCTCAGCCTGCCACAGACCAGGTGCTACTTGCATGGATGTTATCCCCTGCTCACACAGTTCTTCCAGAGCTCAGCTCTCCCGGCCCCCAACTCCATCCCAGCCCTGCTGGTTTAAATATCTCTTTATTGATAGGAAACCCATTGGTGAAGAGGCCAGTAGTTGGCAGGAGCCCCCCAATCAGGGACCGAGATGCCGCTGCTTTGCTTTTCCATCCGGGTGGAGAGGCCAGAGAGGGCCTGTGTAGACTCCAGAAGGCCCTAGAGTCAGGCTGGGCGGCACGGGGAGAGCGAATGTGTGATGCTCCCGGCTCGGAGGAAACCTCCAGCGGCCCTCCGACTCCCCTCCGCATCAGTTTCCAGAGCCCGGGAGGGTCCCTGCTGGCGGGCTTGGTCAGAGGCAGAGGCTGAGCTCCTTGCGCACGCGGCAGCGGTGGCACTGCACCACGCAGCACCAGTGGAAGCGGCACAGGCAGTTCTCCTCGAGCTGCACGCTCTCCTGGCGGTGCCCGCGGCCGCAGCACAGCAGGTCACAACCGCTGAGGTCCGGGGCGCTGCTGTTGCAGGCGCGGCCGCGCGTGCCGGGCGAGCCGGTGCGCCGGTTGGGGGCACAGAAATCGGGCGAGTCGGCGGCGTAGAGCAGGTCGGCGCGGCCCGGCGGCTTGAGGGAGCGCACGGCGGGCAGCAGCGCGCGGCCGTCGTTGGTGCCCATGACGCGCGAGGCGCCGTGGAAGCGCTCGAGGAGGCGCGCGCCCACCTCGCGGAACGGGGGCAGCTTCTGCCAGCAGGTGCGCAGCGCGCAGGAGCCCGACAGCCCGTGGCACTTGCACTCGGTGCGCGTGTGACTCCGAACCGCCTGCGGGGTGGAGGGCCAGGGGTGAGAGAGGGGGGCGCGATGAGGGTGGACAGGAGGAGGGTTGTGGGGGGGGGGGATCAGGGGAGCCCAGGAGGCACGGGAGGGAGGTGGGGGGAAGAAAGACAGGATGGAGGAGGAAGATGATTGGGGCATCCCTGTGGGCACACAGAAGGTAGCATAGATCCCAGGACCCAAAGCCAGGTAGGGCACAGGTGTTGAACAGCAGGAGGAAGGGGCAGGTGTGAGGCTCTTTTCCCAGGGTGGGGTGGGGGTGGGGTGTATCCTGTCCTGCCAACAGGGACCCCCCTCATTCTTTTTTTTTTTTGCTTTTTTGGGGGGGGTTGGGTTACACCCGGCGATGCACAGGGGTTACTCCTGGCTCTGCACTCAGGAGTTACTCCTGGCGATGGTCAGGGGACCATATGGGATGCTGGGAATCGAACCCGGGTCGGCCGCATGCAAGACAGACGCCCTACCTGCTGTGCTATCTCTCCAGCCCCGGGACCCCCCTCATTCTTAACCCTCAATGTGTGTTCCTAGAAGACTCCGAGGCTGAGACACGGGGCGCAGAAAGGCCCATTGTCTAGGCCTTTCCCAGGGGGACTCAGGCGTCCCCGTAGCTGGGGGCAGGGACACACTTTGGGGGTGAGTAGGCTCAGGAGCTCAGATGTGGGTGCCCACTTCACAGACGACCTCCTTTCTTCCCTTCCTCCCTCTCTGGGAGTGGGAGCTTGGGGACTTCCTCATTGCAGAGAGAAGGGGGTGGCTGCTGGGGTTCTGGGTCCATGCTGGGCGGGCAAGGGGCCATGCACTCACAGCTTCCCTGCCCCCCACCCCAGCACCCACCCCACCCTTTCCAGGCTCCCCACCCCACCAGCCTCCCCTGCCCTCACTCCCTCCTCTAGCCCAGATCCGGCCCTTTCTTTCGGTCCCCACTGCTTTATGTTTGTGTGGAGGCCACACCCAGTGGTGCCCAAGGCTTCCTCCTGGCTCTGCACCCAGGGATCACTCCGGCAGGGTTCAGGGGACCTATGTGGTGCTGGAGGATCGAACCTGGATTGGACACGTGCAAGGCAAGCATCCGACCCACCGTGCTATTGCTCTGCTCCAACTCCTACTGCTTTAAAACAAAATAGGGACCTCTCAGTGATATTCAGAGGCTATGAGGACTAGACTCGAGCACAGGGAGGACCGGGGATCGAACTCAGGGCCTCGTGCATGCTAGGCACGTGCTCTACCATGTGTCCTGTCTCTGCAGCTCTGACCCCTGCCTTTGTCTCCCTTCTTCACCCACCCCTGGCAGCTCTCCCTGCTGGGGTCCCTCAAGGCCTCAAGTCTTCCTGCCCCTCCAGACCCCCAGGCTGGCCACCTCACTGTCCTCCAGCCCAGCCTCACCCCCACAAGCTTCCCAAGTGGTCTCCATCTGCCACGCTGGCTCCCACCACACTTGTTATTGCACACACATATGTTAACACACTCCCATGAGCACATGCCCACACACATCAACACAGATCCACATATAGTAATCCACACTGCATGTATTATCACACCCACATATTAACATAAACCTATACCACACCACATATAACATGCATCAACATATGCCCACATACATTAACATGTGTCCTCAAATATTAACACATACATATTAATATATGCCTACATGTATTAACATATGCCTGCATAGAAAACACCATGTGCATGAACCTATACACACATTAACATGCGTCCATATACACCAGCATGTGTGCACAAATATAAACATGCCAGCATTTAACACGTTCCTATGTGTCCACGTGTATTAACATATGTCCACATACAGCTACATATACTAACATTCATTTAGTAACATGCCCACATATCAACACATGTTCTGCATGGAGACATTACTGGGCCCACTAGAGCAAATCGATGAACAACGGGAGGACCCTAACTAACTAACAAACATGTACCCACATGTTTTAACATGAGCCCACATGTGAACTTGCCTACACATATTAACATGTGCCTTGTCTATTAATGTATCCAGATACTTTTGCATGTATTAATAAGCTAACACATATCAATCCATGTATGTCCACAGAGCATCATTCCCACCCTCATTTCCTAACACACACTTGACAGCATGCTCCAAAACCTCACACACTCACATACCTATTCATACATGCACTCACACACATTCACATACACTCCACTCACACATATACTTACACACACATACTCACACACTCACATACTTACACTCACATTCATATGCTTACACTCACACTCAGGTACTTATACACACATACACTCATACACATTCACACACACTCCACACTGACACATATACTTACACACATACTTACACCAATAACACTCACATACTTACACTCACATTCACATACACTCACACACTCACACTCATATATTTATACTCACACACTCACATGCCCAAATATACACTCCACCCACTTTCACATATACTCACAGACCCACATACACTCACACACATTAATATATGCCTATGTGTTCATTATTAATATGTTAATAACATTAACATATTAATATGTTAATATACTCACACACATATGCTCTGGCACACACATGAACACACACACATACACTGACATACATACTCCCCCCCCCAACTGAAACACACACACATACTCCCCCCTCACGCACACACTCCCGGCTGACACACACTGACAGTCACGTACACACACTGACACACACATTCTCACACATAATTACATACTTATACATAATTACTCACATAATTACACCCACCCTCCCATATACTCACATACTCACACGCATACTTACCCTCACACTCTCATGCACATTCACACATTCTCACATGTTCACACCATCATAAACACATGCACACATTCATTCACACACTCATAAACCCTCCCACACACTCATATATACATACTGACACACATAGTCACACTCACCCTCCCCCACAAACACATTCACAGCTCACACTTATACACTATACACACTCATTCACACAGACATACACCCCCCACAAACTTCCATACTCACCAACAGCACACACACACACACACACACACACTGACACACTCCCATATATACTCACACACATATGCTCTGGCACACATACGGACACACACACATACACTGACACACATACTCCCCCCCACACACTGAAACACACACACATACTCCCCCCTGACACACACTGAAACACACATTCTCACACATATACACACACACTCCCCCACACACGGACACATACACAGCGACACTCACATATACACACTGACACACCCACATACACACTGACACACACACATACACTGACACAGACACACAGACTGACACACACATTCATACACGCACTCGCACACGCACTCCCGCCCCTACTCACCAGCCTGCCGGCCTCGTTGTTGTGCAACTGCACCAGCGCCCGGATGTCCCCGTGTCCCCTCTTGTGCTGCGCGTCCATGAAGAGCCTCGACTTCTCGTCCCCGAAGTCCACGTCGTCGCCGCAGCCGCCCCACTCCCATGCCGCGCTGCCCTCGGTGGCGCCTGCGGGGCCCCCGGCGAGGTCGGGCAGGCCGGGGGGCCTCGGGACGCGCCCGCGGGGGGCCTGGCAGCCGCACTGCAGCAGCTCGCCCATGGAGCAGGCCTGCGTGACCGCGTGGCTGGCCCCCGCCGCCGTGATGGCAAACACGAAGGCCGTCTCGCGGATATCTGCGGGCGCAGGGCAGGGGTCAGCCCCACTCCCACCCCCTGGGCCTGGGCGGTCCCCCCAGCCCCACCCCCCTACACACTGACCCTGCTGCAGGATGCGCCCGAAGGCCTTGCTGTGGCTGGAGCAGTTCCAGCGGCGGAAGCGGAACTGGAACTGACACTCTCGAACCCCGAGCCGCGCGCCCCGGGCCAGCTCTGCCACCACTTCCGGTTCTGTTTGGCACAACTCCGCCTGCCGCCCCGCCAGCCGCCGGGCCTTCCTGCAGATGCTGGTGGGGTCCATGACCAGAGGGCTGCCCACGGCCCTGGGAAGCAAAGATGAGCGGGTCAGGGGTCACCTTGAAGAGGGGAGGAGGGAGCGACGCCCTCAGCTGGAGCGGGAGACTCTGGCCTCTCTCCACACCTGCCCCCCACAGGCCCTGCAGCTGGTCCGGCTGTGTTCTCCGACTGTCCCCATCTGTGTCGCCTCTGAACCAGATTCCAGACTGAAACCTGCCATGGACCAAGGAGAGAGGCCTCTCCTTCACGTCAGCTGTTCTTTTTATGGGGGATGATGCAGTTCTACAGTCCCACTCACCCAAGTTCCTCCTCCTGCCTCTCCTAGGAGTACCCCCAGGGCCACAGGGACCTTCTCAGGGAGCTTGGTAATAAAAGACCCCATGGAGGGTCAAAGAGAAAGTACAGTGGATAGGGCCCTTGCAGGGCATGCAGCCGACCCCTCCCCCCAGTTTGATCCCTGGCATCCCTTGGGGTCTTTTGATTGGTGCTACAGACACGTCACCCCCTGCAGAGTTCTCAGAGACCCTCAGCGCTGGAGTCTGAACCCACAAGCTGCCTCCAAAGCACAGCACCGAGCACCATCTTCTTGGCGTCCACGTGCCTCTCTCTCTCTCTCTCTCTCTTTTCCTTCAGCAATAAATCCTAGGGTGTTGACTCGGGGTGAAGACCTCTGTCAACACGTGCAAATTCAACAAGCCTAACGCCCCAAAGCCGGCCGAGGAGGAAACGAACAGAAGCAAGACCACGAGAAGGGCAGCCACGGAGAGGACAATCTAGAGACCTGAGGCCTAGTGGATGGCCCCAGGAAGGGCGTGCCTGGCCTTGGGGGACCACACGCTGGCTGGGTTGGTTGCACCGTGCAGACGCCGGAGGCAGGGATGAGATGAGACAGGGTCAGGTGATGAGGATGGTGGGGACGTCACAGCCCCCCACTCACCCAAGTTCCCCCTTCTGCAACATGGGGGTGGGTGGAGGAACGCCCCTCCTGCGGAGAGCTACCCCCAACCCCCGTGATGGGGACAGAGACCCTCTTGGGCTTGGTGATAAAAGACTCCATGGAGAGGGCCAGAGTATCACAAGCCTCCTCCCCCCTCCCCCCTCCCCTGGTTTTCCACCAAGCAGACCCAGGCAGGGCTGGCATCAGGGTTCACCTCTGGGTGGGACCACCTCAACCAGGCGGCTCTTATTGGAGAGTTCAGGGGTGCCAAGGGGATCATGTGGAGCTGGGGAGGGTTAACAGGAGGGCATACGGGGCAGGCAGGGGAGAGAACATGGGAGGGCATGGTCGACAGTTCCTCCTTGTCCATAGGGCATCACCACTCGGGCACCAGGTGCCCAGCACACTCTTGCCCTTGACCCAGAGAAGACGGGTCTGCCTGCAAGAAGGGAGTCAGGGCTTCAGGGAGCCAGGGCCAGCAGGCACTGGGCAAGGGAAGCTTACAGGAAGGTGTGTGGGCCTCCCCCCACCCACACACAAACACACACATACCCATAGACTACACTCCCGCACACAAACACACATGACACTCACCCATAAACACACACGCCCATACATGCCACTCACCTAGTCCCCCCCACACCCATACATGCCACTCACCCAGAGACCACACACACACACACATACAACCATCATATATATGCACTATGCAAACACCACACACACACATACATGCCACGCACATACATACCATATCACACGTGACACACCCCACACATGCACACAACACACCGCATATACATCACATAGCTAGACATAGGCATGCCATAAAGACACACCACACGTACACCACACACATACACATACACACACATACACACCATACACACCCATACACACCCACACACATATACACATTACACACCCACCAGACACACTGCACACAGCTACACATGATACATAACACACACATGTCACACATACACACCACACACAAGTACACATACATCACACACACACACCCAGCCCCTGCCAGGCCCGTCCTGGTCCCGAGCTGAGGTTCTCCGGGCAATGATGAGACTTAGGATCCAGGCCTGGTCAGCTCTACACTTGACTGTGGCCGGGTGGGCACAGCCCAAGCCCCCTGTGCCCCTAAATATGGTCAGAGCAGTGGGGAGCGGGTGGAGGTGGGGATCGGGGTGGGGTATCCCACCTGGCTCCCAGTGAGCCCCCCGAGCTGGTGAGTGTCCCCCACCCCTCATCCACTCCTCATGGTACGGGTTCAGCAGAGATAAAAGCCCGACACCAGGTACCCCAGAGGAGCTGTTTTTCTTGTCTCATTTGGAGGTATCCAGGCACCTGACTTTACCCCAATTTTTTTTTTTTGCTTTTTGGGCCACACCCAGCGATGCACAGGGGTTTACTCCTGGCTCTGTACTCAGGAGTTACTCCTGGCGGTGCTCAGGGGACCATATTAGATGCTGGGAATCGAACCCGGGTCAGCCGCGTGCAAGGCAAACGCCCTACCTGCTGTGCTATCTCTCCAGCCCCCACCCCAATGTTTTTTTAAGTTTTGTTTTTGCGGGGATAACTTCTGGTATTTGCTTGGGGAGCCGTGTGGTACCAGGCATTGATTGAATCTGGGCCTCCAGCATGCAAAACTATACCCCAGCTCTTCCTGCAAGTTTTTTTGGGGGGGAGGGGGCACACCCGGCGATGCTCAGGGATTACTCCTGGCTCTGCACTCAGGAATTACTCCTGGTGGTATTCGGAGGACCCTCGGGGATACTGGGAATTGAACCTGGGATGGCCACATGCAAGGCAAACGTCCTCCCCGCTGTGCTATCACTCTGACCCCCTGCCTTCCCATTTGTATGACGAACATTTGCACATCACAAATGATTCACAGGAGACTGCTGTAAATGTGATCTGTTTCCTGACGGGAGAAAGCACATCAGGACAACTGCCTTTGGGTCCGTGGTCCTTGGCTTCGTGATGGTGCTATGGAAACAGAAGACCGTCCGGGTTTCGCCGGTTTCACGGGCCTGGGGAATCCTGGGCTTGGCTGGTGTCCACTCTCTCCTGCCACCTGCAGGGCGGACTTCACCTGGGAGTGGGGGGGTTCTTCGAGCCGGCCCTCCCGCACTCTGCTGCTCCGCTCCGGCTGCTCCAGCTCGCTGACTCCCTTCTCCCCCAAGGCTGCCAGGCTTATCTCCCCAAGGTTACTCCCCCCAGGAAGGCAGGAGAGGATGGGGCACATGGGGGGACCAGCACGAACCTCTTGGCCTTGTCTGCTTCTCAGGGGATAGAGATAGGAGAGGAATCGGTGGGGGGTGGGGGGGGAGACGGGGGAGGCAGAGGAGGGGTGGAGCTGACCCTTGGTGGGGGCGAGGGTCTGGCTCCCCAGCTGGCCGGCTGCCTGGGAACGAGGCTTGTTTACCCGCTGGCCAGGAGAAGGGATGGGCAGGAGGAACCCCCAGGGACCAGCTTGCTCTCTCCCCTCCCCTCCTGGCGGCCTTCCTCAATCGCAGCCAAGTCCAGAGGGGTGTGGTGGGGAAAGGGGTCAGACACTGAGGGCTCGCTCCCCTCCCCGAGGGGCCCAGGCCAGGGGGGCTGAGCTCTCTGGGCAGTTCAATGTCCTCTCCCTCCTCTCCAGACCTCTATCCTTGGAGGAGGGAGACTCAGGAGATCCAAATTCCCCAGCAGGGGTCCGATCCCCAGCACTGCAGGGTTCCCGAAGCACCTCTGAGCAACACCCCGGGGTACTGGTATGGCTCTGCTCGCCCCAAATCAAAATAAAAATAGAATTCAAAAGCAAAAGAAAAACAGGGCCGCCAAGAAAGTACAGGGGTTCAGGGGCTTGTCTTGCATCCCACCAGCCAGCCCTAGTTCAGATTCCTGGCGCCACACACGGTCTCCAGGCCACTGCTAGGAACCATTCTGGACCACAGAACCAGAAACAGCCCTTGAGAACTGCTGGGTGTGGCCCAAACACTACCACCACCCCCGCCCCCCCCCCATTAAGGGACAAAGAACAACAACTGGAACCAAAACCCCACACATTTAAACTAATCAAAAGAGCAGGAACTGGGGCTGGAGCGATAGCACAGCAGGTAGGGAGTTTGCCTTGCATGCAACCGACCAGGGTTCGATTCCTGGCATCCCATATGGTCCCCCAAGCACCACTGGGAGTAATTTCTGAGTGCATGAGCCAGGAGTAAACCCTGTGCATCACTGGGTGTGACCCAAAAAGCAACAACAACAACAAAAAGAGCAGGAACTCTGAAAGGGGCCTGGGAGTCAACTGGAGAAGGGGGGAGCGAGGGGGGAGCACATTCTAGAATGTGTGAGACTCTAAGTCCCAGCCCTGGTTCTGAATATTCCCCCCAAAGTCCTGGGGAGCATCCCCTCTCCCCTGAGCACTGCAGGGGCAGACGTGGGGTGATCGGGGCCCAGAAGCTCGGGGTGAACACCAAGCCATCCAGAGCATTTCCCGGAGTGACCCGGGGTCCGTCCAAGGTCCCTACAGGGAGACCCCATAGAATCCACAGTAAAATGCTCTCTCAGGCTCTGGGTCAAGATTGGCAGAGGGCCAGCTCAGAGAAGTAACCCCCTTTTGAGAGCACCTGAACCTGGGGTGCCGGACCCCCAGGAGTGGTAGGATGTAGGGATGAAGTCGTGGTCCATGGACTGTTCCATGGCAGCATGGCAGGGCACCTCACAGTCTGTATGTATACAGGAAGGGAACGAGACAGCCCTGACTGGTGCCACCATCTCCTTCCTTCATGGGGAGCACTGTGAGCTGACTGGGGTGACCTCAGTCATTTACCCTGACACTTCCTATGACTCTAAGCTGGGGAACATATCCAATCTACCTGTCCAGGATTCAGTGGCCAAAGGAAGGCCAGAGACTCACTATCTACCATCCCTCACATCTGACATGGGGGGTAGAAGGAGAAGTGGGGAGACTGACCCTGGCCATTCAAGTAGAGGGGTCCCCCTGGCAGGAAAGCTGGATGCACCTTCCAAACTCCTGGGGGAAAGTGGTCCCAGGAGTCAGAAGGATATGGGGATCTTGCTGCCTTGCTC